AACACAGAATAGTGTTGTGAGCAAAATTATCGGTTGACCCAGGTGTTCGTGATCGCTGTAGAAAATGAAGGCTGCCCGGCTTCCTACTGTGTTGATTTGCCGGAATGTTTTACAGTCGTTGCGGTTTCGACCATTATTTTGCATTCATTCCGACACTTCTAAATTATTGTTCACGATTGAAGATCTAGAAATGGCAACTAATATTTTTAGAGTCACTCCTAGTAAATATGAACAGTGTCAAAAACTCGATATTTATGTGTTTGTACGTACAAAGGTCTGTTTTATAATATCCAGTTGAGATCATTCATAAATTGTTTGTATAGTGAACGCAGCGGGAGCGTTGGAAACTGAGGTTGGAAAATAATTTAAAGGCATAATAAGACCTCAAACAAAACTCATTTATTTTTATGTCGCGTGTGTTACATTCAGTGTTTATGAGCTTCGTAAAAGTTAGCAGCGTATAAAAAGTCTACCTAACTATAGTGGTGGTTTATTATTGACTAATTCCAGAATGATAAGAACTGAGGAACAGTTTTTTTGTCGGCGCATCAACGCTCATGTGAACGCACACACGCGCCCATTATTTCAAACTCGCGTAATGGCTGCCTGTGTTCGATCCAACTTTTACGACCGGCTCGCTAGATGTCACTATAACGACTGTCATCGCGTGACATTTAAGTGTCAGCTCTCCATTTTGACATTTAGAGTAATTGCGTAGAACTTTAAAGTTTAAGACGTACGGCATAATATCGTCTAACAATATAGATAGTTACATGCAAATGCTAGCCAACTTGCACCGTACAAGGGTATGCCACACGATAGTTCGTGCTGTAAAATACCAATTTACTTTAACAATATAGCGATTTACTTTGAACATTTCTTAGCCTTTTAAGGCAGCGTACATTTAGGCCAGCCGCGGATAGTGCTCGAAGCTGATATAAATAAGAGAGTTTCGATCGTGCCCCAAGAGAACTAAGCCATTTATCCGCTATTAATTTTACTGTCGTGCCATCTCAACAAAGATCAACACCATTTTATAGTTGTTTAGAAAGAGAATGCTGATACGGCCGCGTTTATTGCGCAGTGACATCCTCATTGTATTGCACGTTTTTCATCTGGATTCGTGTGGGATTAGTATGATAATATTGCAATAAAATACGGCCAAATATACTTTGTCAGAAACGAGAAGAGGCCTCTGCCCAGTAGTGGGACGTATATAGGCGGTAACTATAACTTTAAAATACGGCATCAAAAGTGTTATAGTAGCCATAAAATAATTTGAATGCAAGTTTTAATATTTATTTCTTCGCTATTATTTATTCTGTGCTATTAATAAAAGTCTTTTTGTAAGAATATAAATAACGCTATTAACTTTATTAATACTTCCGTTAACCTTTCTACGTAAGCTTGAAATGTTTTTTTAGAAGTTGGCTACCACAGTAGTCGAATGGTGTATTCGAATCTACGACTTACTGAGCTTGCAATTAAATAAGTTCGATATTTTTATACGCATTTTTTCTGGAACTGGAATAATTTACTGTATGCAATAAGCCTTACTCTACCACGTTATAAAGAAAGGACTTAATTATTTGGCACAACAGCGATCTAACGTTCGCTTTGTTTAGATCTACGTCAATAGGTGTTGGGACTCTTTTTCTTTCTAAATAGCTAGTGTAATGACATGCTGTGATGCATGCCATCTTCACATGTCCACAAAAGTGATAACTTATATGTAGTTTTTTGTTTGAAGTTGCTCTTGCAATCAGTTAGAATGTAAGTTCGTTTGTCATTTAAATATATATATATATATTATATATATATATATATATATATATATATATATATATATGCATAAAAATCTTACTGATGACAATTCTGCGTAAATTTCTATATGTGTCCACATTATTCAACTTTTTTATTATTGGTAGCATTGTAGGTAAGTGATAGAGACACGCTGCAATATAGCACGAATGAGTCGGTGCAACAAAGGGAGAACTATGCTTCGAAGAACTATATAAGCATGAAATAACAATATAATATTACTGTGTTTTTGTATGGTGAATCTTAGCTCTTACGGGTGACAACACATCTGTATTTTGATTGGTAACAGAGGACAGATGTAAATTTCAATAGGTCATAACTTCAGCTTAACATAAAGTGAGTGTGTGCTTTTTTATCACTTTACTTTTATGGAAAATCAATATCGTTATCGTATAGTATATGTATAGTATATAGTATTAGGTATCGTATAGGTTTTATTACCTTATATTTTCATTAACGTAGTAGAGCTACGAGTCGTCTCAACCGGAAAAGGACCACGCTCTCACAGAATACTAGCGTAGAAAAGCAGCTTATTGCCGCTTGATATGGTGAGTATAGAGAACCGGAGACCATTTTTTACTGGTAAAGAGGCATTCTACATTAATTCTCAGGTGTGACAACGTATCTCAATTCTGATTCTTAATCCGTGGATCCATTTACCAACGGATGGACGGTGTACTTGTTTGTCACTTTTATTCTATAAAAATTGCGATTAAATCCATCCATACATAGAAGTAAACAATTTCTATTATTTTTTTCCCCTTTACCGTTACCGTTACAGCCTATTAAAGTCAACTGCTGAACATAGACCTATCCCAGAGATTTCCTCATAGGTGGGATATTTTACATAGTTGCCACGATTGGTCAACGGGTTGGCAACCCTAAGTTTTTGTAATTTTGAGTTGTTATCAGTATATGTATATATTGTTATCGGTTGCCATGTAGATGGAAAGTGTGTCAACAACCTAAGTTACGCCGACGACATGGTGTTGCTGAGTCCATCGTTTAGTGCGCTCAGAAAGGTTCTGGGAATCTGTGAGGCTTATGCAAATGAACACGGTCTTATTTATAATATAAAGAAAAGTGAGTTTGTGCTGTTTAAAGCTAATAACAAGAGTCCCATGTACATACCACCTATCAGACTCTACAACACTCCTTTATCGAGGGTATCACAATTCAGATACTTGAGACACTACGTGACCGAAGATTTGCGTGATGAAATGGACATGGAGAGGGAGCGTAGGGATTTAGCAACCCGGAGTAATATGTTGGTCCGTAGGTTTGCATGATGCAGTAATGCCGTTAAAATAACTCTTTTTAAGGCATATTGCCAGTCTTTCTATTCGTGCTCCCTTTGGGTCAACTACACACAAACGGCGTATAAAGCATTAAAGGTGCAATATAACAATGCGTTTAGAGTTCTTTTGGGGCTGCCCCGCTACTACAGTGCTTCAGGCATGTTCTGTGAGGCCCGCACCGACGGGTTTGACGCGATAATGCGCAAAAAAGCCGCATCGCTACTAAGCAGAACAAGAAATAGCGCCAATAGTATGCTGGGTGTTATAGCACAAAAACATGACTGTCCTATAATAAGGCAAATTATTAAGGTCCTGCATGGCTGACTTACCTGTGTGTGTGTATGTATGTATGTATGTATGGCTGCGTGCGTGCGTGGGCGCGCGCGCGCGCGAGTGTGTGTGTGTGTCCGTCCACCTAGCTGTATTATTATTATTATTATTTTGTGATTTTTCTAATATCTCTGATATGGATCTCATTTGTTATCCGAAATAAAGATTTATTATTAAAAAAAGCTTTTACAAAAATTTACTTCGCAAATATCCGCGTTATAAAATAAAATGATGTGTCTTACCTAGTATGAAGAAGCACCTCCCGCCCTCCCTCAATTGCGTGCACTAACCCCGTCACCACTAATCCCAGCACCGCTACTCCCAACACCACTACACTAGGCAAGACACACCACTGACGATAATACGACACGTGTTTCGCCTCTACACGAGGCATCCTCAGGTGATATAGACTCTACGGTGGCTAACCGCTAAGTTAACAAGCTTAGCGGTTAGCCACCGTAGAGTCTATATCACCTGAGGATGCCTCGTGTAGAGGCGAAACACGTGTCGTATTATCGTCAGTGGTGTGTCTTGCCTAGTGTAGTGGTGTTGGGAGTAGCGGTGCTGGGATTAGTGGTGACGGGGTTAGTGCACGCAATTGAGGGAGGGCGGGAGGTGCTTCTTCATACTAGGTAAGACACATCATTTTATTTTATAACGCGGATATTTGCGAAGTAAATTTTTGTAAAAGCTTTTATATAATGGATTTCCGCAAAGTAACGCCTGATTCTATTAATTATATTTATTATTATTATTATTATCAGGAAAATGCTGCTGCCCATCTCCTGATTTGTTTCTCTCTGTTGCCTCTTACGACATCCACGGGATGATACGGGGTAGTGGATATTCCTACACCGCCACTACATGGTAATTTATTGCAGGATAATATGTTGACAGCCCATATAGATTTTTTTTATTGTATTGACAATTTTTACACGACAAGTAACAATGGAACATAAGTATACTGAGAGCATGCTGAATCGATGTCGTACCGACCAATGAAGTCACGGCCTAAGTTTTTTTTATAGGATAAGGGTGATAAACGAGCACACAGTCCACCTGATGGTAAGTGGTTGCTGTGGCTTGTATAACTGGTATAGTTTAAGAATGGGTCGGCTCGATGGCCGGGTAAGAACCACGCTATCACAGAATACCAGCGTAAATCAGCAACTTAACACTGCTGTGTTTCGTATGGTGAGTGTAGAGAACTGGAGACACTTTTTACTGGAAATGAGGCATTCCATATTAGTCCTCACGGGTGATAACGCATTTTGATTCGTATTCGAGGATAGATGTAGATGTCTATGAGCCACAGCAACCACTTAGTATCAGGTGGACTGTGTGTTCGTTTGTCATCCTTATCCTATAAAAAAAGCAATGGATTTAAAAGGACCGTTTACGTGTATGTATGTTATGTGTATATGTTTATATAATGTAATAAATAAAACAGGTTGTAGAGACACAAGTGAATTAATTGATTTATGGCTTCACTTTATCAAAGTGGAATGCTTATTATGAGAACTCAAAAGAATGCCACTATCGTCACTCTACCTGATAATTCGGGAGATCCGGTGTTTGGTAATTTGGTTGCAGCTGCTACTTAAGCACGCAGTATGCTTTCCTTCGAAAAAATATAAACCAAGTTCAATTAATCACAATAATCTGGTTACGGTTTATAGTTATGATAGAAGTGTGAAAGTATTCTTGTCGATTTAAAAAAAATCAACTAAATCTCTCAACTCTGTTAATACATCGTTTGTTCATTCATCATTGACTCGTTTTTTCAGTTTTATCATGTTATATCTATCTTCAATTAAGAATCAAAATGCAAATGTGTTGTCACCCAAGAGGACTAAAATAGTATGCCTCGTTTACAGTGAAAAGGTTCTCCTGTTTTCACAATCACCATATGAAACACAGCAGCATGAAGCTGTTATTTTACGCTAGTATTTTGAGAGAAAGTCCTTCCCCAATCGAGCCGACCCATTCTTGCTACAATCATAATATAGCTGAAATGTGGCTCTACCAAAATTAAATTTATTTTATTTTCGTACGCTGAAATTTAACGCTAAGACTAACAAAAACAGAAACAATGTCAGAGACTTAAAACATATTTTTAGGATATGGGAAGTCAGCCAACAGGTAACATTCCCACTTATATACCTCAACGAACACACGGCGGAATAATGAAATAAATTATCATACCTTAAATTTTTTTTTATAGGATAAGGGTGAAAAACGAGCACACAGTCCACCTGATGGTAAGTGGTTCCTGCGGCCCATAGACATCTATATCTATCCTCTATTACAAATAAAATGCAGATGCGTTGTCATCCGTGAGGACTAAGATGGAATGCCTCATTTCCAGTAAAAAGGGCCTCCGGCCACCTGCACTCATCAAGCGAAACGCAGAGGTAAACCTCTACTTCACGCTGGTATTCTGTGAGGTTGTGGTACCACCCCGGTTCGAGCCGGCCCATCCGTGTGACAGCAAAAGCTGCCGCGTGGCTCTACCACTGTTAAATTAAATGTGAAACCAGTTGAATATCTGCTCGCTAAGCCAGGTATATTAGCAAAAGATCTACATAATTATATTCTATGTAATATAAACTGTAAAATATGGCTTATGATAATAACGTTGACATTTACCAAAAACACTGGCTGATATAAATTCAAAATTGTTGGGTTCCTAATTAAAAATAAATCATCTTAGAACAAAACTGCGCTGCCTAAATTTTTTAAGAAAGCTATAAATAATATTTATATTAGAGAAAAGATACAGTAAAATAAATTAAAGGTCATAGTTATGTCGCATTTTTAAAGATTAATATAATATATAATAAAAGTTTCCGTTTCTGATCTATAAGCGGCGTCGTTAGCTGATAATTTTATTAATTTATCATGACGGAGAAGGTCGCGTAAAGTTCTCGTTTATTTGACTTTTAAAATAAGTTATGAGCATATGTGGCAGAAATACATAATATTTTCTAGATATCTATAACGTTTTATATGTTATCTGCCGAGTTGTCCAGTTATATTCGTTCATTAGTCCCGTTATACGGCAATATAATTGATTAGGTTTTAATTGAATTCTTTTCATTTTAATTTTAATTTTATATAGCTGATTGATAATGATTTTGAATGGATAATCATAACAGACTTACATTAATTTAACAGCTTAGATAATTAGTAAATTTACAGATTATTTGCTGAGGACAAGCCTTCCTTCATTTCTGAAAGAGTTTTTATGGCAGAAATGAATCCACAGCACTGCTGGGTTTAAAAAATTCCCAATGATAGAGTTAAAAAACAAACTTACGTTAATAAGTATCTTGACCATAAAAATCAAAACAAATATTACATATTTAAATATTTAAATATCTTTATCTAAATTGCTTGAAACTTTTGCTGTGAATATAAATAAAATAGTAGTGATAGTTATAGAATAATAATTAGTTGGTTATTTTTACTGTATTTACATAGCAACATATTTATATTTTGACATTTGTAAACGATTGTGTGACATTGTTTTTCACTTAGAGTAAATATCACTCTGAAGTTTTTCGTAATTAATCTTTTGACATATATTTTATCATGTACTTTGGGGAACTTTAAACGTCTTCTGAATATTTATAATTCCGCAGGCACATTTATCACCGAACATATGTATTATCTAGCAATAAAATTATTTTTCATATTTACACTATGAAAATTTAAAGACGACTGCCTACCCCCTGAGCTAATGGTAATTTCATTCATCGTTTTAACAAAGCCTATCAAAGTCCACATCTGAATATTGGCCTCCTCTATAGATTGTCTCTTAGTTGCCAAGATTAGCAGGCGGGTTGCCAACCGTAGTTTTTTATAATTTTGAATTTTTTTTTATGGGATAAGGGTGACAAACGAGCACACAGTCTACCTGATGGTAAGTGGTTGCTGCAGCCCATAGACATCTACATCTATCCTCTATTACAAATCAAAATGCAGATGCGTTGTCACCCATGAGGATTAAGATGGATTGCCTCATTTCCAGTAAAAGGGTCTCCGGTTCTATACACTCACCATACGAAACACAGGAGCATTAAGCTGTTATTTTTCGCTGGTATTTTGTGAGAGCGTGGTCCTTCCCCGGTCGAGCCGACGCATTCGTGCTACAACTATACCACTAATATAGCTGCAGCATGGCTCTACCACGTATAGTTGTTATTAGGATGATGCTGCTGCTCATCATCTGTTTTTTTCCTCAATGTGACATGCTCGCCTCTTGCGACACCCATGGGATGATATGAGATAGAGTAGTCTCTTACGTCACATCTACACGGTGAAATATTATATTAACATTAATACCGTTTCAATAATTAATTTTGTAGTTGCGAACAAATATTTTTTTTGGAGTTGTGCGAGCTAGTTACCTGTTTTTGCAGTACAATATTATTATGGTAACTAGTCGTTCCCTGCGACTTCACCCGAGTGGAATTTATTACGATTGGATTCCATTTAGAAAAATAATTAGGACTCCCTTTATTATTTTTCTAAAATAAAAGTAGCCCACGTTACTCCTTATAACATCAGCTATCTGCCAGTGAAAGTCCCGTCGAAATCAGTCCAGCCGTTTTGGAGATTAGCTGAAACAAACAGACAGACTGACAAAAATTTTTAAAATTGTTTCATATACTTACATTTAGTAAAAGGCTGTTATTTTGACTACAAACAGACACTTCAATTTTATTATTTCTTTAGATTAAGTTTACAAATGTGCAAAAAAAAGAATTGTGCAATTTCTTTTGGAAATTGCCTTTCTTTTAGAAATGCCTTCAGTATCTATGTACTTCGAAGTTTGTGTACGCACATATTTGTACGTGCAAAATGTTTTTACTGACAAATTAGTACGGAAAGAAATATGTGTGAATAATTATAGAAGTTACACATACGATTATTATATTTACACTGAAGTTAACAAGTATATATAAAGATCTTACGGTCGTTTAGAACGTCATGTGTCAAAAACACATAATGAGGTGTGAAGTATATTTTTATATTTAATAGGTTAGCTTTCGCACATTTATTTTCGCACAATTTTTCGCAAAATTATTTCCTCAATAAAATAATGTCAAGTACCTCTAGGTAAAATGTGTATTTTACGATAAGGAATTATAAATATGACGTGACATTAACAACTAACAATTGAACAACAAAGTTGATTGTCATTTGGCACAGACCCAACAGAAGTGAGTCAAGAGGTGTGGACGCATACGTATTATTAAAACAATGCACCCACCAGTGACGCATCCTCGGCCTTCCTTGTTTACGATATGTTGGTTTATGATTCAACAAAATGTCAGAATAAACGAGCGGGCGATGTTCCGTTTCTCGCGTTATACTTACACATGGACCTGTTTAAGAGCGTGTTCACACCAGCGTCAGCGATATCGCACGTAGCTTTTGTATTTGAATGTCTCATGTCAAGCGACGATGAGGTAGTGTTTATCATGAAAAATAAATAAATAATATCTTGTTGTTGAATGGTCATTTTCATGAACTTTGCTAAGATATCTAAATTTCGTAGTTATCTAGAAAAGTTAGATAAGGAAACCTGCAGGAATGATTTTAGACTCGAACCCAGCAGGACGGACCTAACAGACCGAATGCTAATAAAAATCCGTAGTATGATTGGGGGTCAGTATTCGTAGGATAATTTTGATAATAAAAATATTGAAGATAATAGTAATATTATAAATATGCGCTTATTATTTCAACAGTAATTTTAAGAATTTAGGTTACAGATCCGCAAAATAAGAATTTCACTCCTTTATTTTCACAAAGCAAGAATAATAGCTTAAAAGTTATTTTGACAGCACAATGTTTTTTTGTCGGCGGTAAAAGAAGAACCACCAGCAATACCTGATAAGAAACTAAATCAAGTATTATCAGAAAATGAGTAGATATTTGGTCAACTTGATAGTGTTTGTTATGATTGCAAAATAAATAGTCCTAATACAAAATTATTATTTGGCCAGCAGAAATATACAATTGGTTAGGTCAGGCTAGGTTTCCTAGTTTTATTATATTTATTTTCAAATATTCACAGGTTAATTCCTGTTTAATTAGCTGATCGTTTAGATAATAGCTTTTTTATTTATTTGTGTAGAAGAGGGGGCAAACGATGTGGCTCACCTGACGGTAAGTGACTATCGCCGCCCATGAACAACTGCAACACCAGAGGAATTGTAGATTCATTGCTGGCCTTTAAGATAAGAGTTCTTTCTTGAAGTTCCCTAAGTCGTATCGGTCCACAAAAATTGCCGGTGATAAACGATTCCAATAAGAGGAGCGTACGAGGAGCTTTTGTTATTGTTAAGTTATAATTGACATAGGCTGATATCCTAAAGTTAAGGGTGAGTGTAGGGCCAGGCTTAACGTGGTAGAACTATGCTGAAGCTATATTATAGTTATAGCATCAATGGCTCGGCTTGCCCGGGATAGGACCACGCTCTCACGGAATACCAGCGTATAATAGCAGCTTAATGTTGCTGTGTTTTGTATGGTGAGTGTAGAAAACCGAAGATCGTTTTTACTGGAAACGTGGCATTCCATCTTAGTCCTCACAGGATTTTTTGTAGACAACGTATCTGCAACCTTCTTTGTTTGAAGTTGCTTGCAGGTATCCTTAGCCACTTACCATCAGGTGTACTGAAAGTTCTTTAGTCACTTCAATTTTATAAAAAAAGAATGTTGGTGGTAAAAAAAAACTATTCTTCAGACCAGAGCATAGGCGGTAGAAATGGGCAAGATTGGCCAGACTGAGCACCAAATAAAATTAAAAAAATATCCGTTGTGCAAACGCAACCTTTGAACTTTTTATAATTACATAGATTGGAATTACCGTGTGAACAAGCTTTATATAATTGTGTGCTTATAAAGGAGGCCTCGAGTCTGTTATCCTGAGGATTTGCAAGATATTTGTGATACATCGTACCCGGCGATTTTAAACAATGTAGATCAAATCATTACTTCTGCATTTCTTTTTTCGTTCTAACTACTAAAATAACCGTAATATTGAGAATTTAACATATATACTTACTTTACTTTCCTATTTTTTACAAAGTAAGTTTAAGTACAAGTACATTACAATAATAATAATCTAACTCTGAGGGCATAGACTTATCTATGCCCATCAGCATAAGGATCCTTTCCGAGGCTGAAACATACCGATATCTGGGTATGTCACAGAACATCGGAGTCGATAAGGCGGGTATGAAGCAGTCAGTTTGCGATGTGTTTTATGCACGTTTGACAAAAGTGCTTAACAGTTTTATGTCGGGCGTTAATAAGACACACGCATATAACGATTGGATCATGCCTGTTCTCATGTATACATTTGGCATACTCAGGTGGACTCAGACCGAACTGAACGCTCTGGATAGAAAAGTCCGCACTATTATGACGTCCCACAGGATGCATCATTCGAGATCGTCGGTAATGAGGCTGTACTTGCTGCGGAAACATGGTGGGCGCGGCTTTTTAAGCGCGCTTACCATGCATAACCGCGAAGTGTGTAGCCTCCGTAATTACTTTTTGGCGAGAGCGGATGATCCATTCTATAGGGACGTTATTTTTTGTGATAAAGGACTTACCCCTCTATCCTTAGCCAACGAGCAATGGCAAGACCCGGCAGTACAGAGCATTTCCGAGCAGAAGACCGTGTGGAAGGAAAAGGAGCTCCACGGGAGGTTCTACAAGGCTCTACATGAGCCTTTCGTAGACACAATTGCCTCCCTCCACTGGCTACGTTTTGGTGACCTCTTCGGGGAAACTGAGGGCTTTGTCTATGCAATACAGGATCAGGTTATTAAGACCAACAACTATCGGAGATACAGATGGCACCGTCGACATTTGTCGAGCTTGTCGCCATCCCGGTGAATCACTTAGGCATGTCATCTCCAGTTGTTCGGCGCTTTCTAACTCTGAGTACTTGCATAGGCACAACCTAGTAGCCAGGATTCTACACCAGGAGCTCGCTCTGAAACACGGTCTCGTGGATCGGAAACTACCTTATTATAAGTACTTGCCGGAAGCCGTGCTCGAAAATTACCGCGCCAGGCTCTACAGGACCGGGCCATCATCACAGACAGGACCATTCTTGCGAATAAGCCTGATATTGTGCTGATGGACCGGGCACAGTCAAAGATATTTTTGGTCGACATTACCATTCCGTATGACGAGAACCTCGTGAAAGCCGAAACAGATAAGCGTACAAAAAAATATCTGGACCTGGCTCACGAGGTTACCGACATGTGGGGCGGACTGCCGGCCGAAATTATACCTGTGCTCGTTTCTGCGAACGGGTTAATCCCAGTCAGCCTCTCGAGTCTTCTGAGGCGACTGGGACTCCGTGATGGACCGCTCCACGTTCAAATGCAGAAGGCGGTGTTCCTCGATACCGCCCGCATCGACCGCCGGTTTCTTTCCCTTTCCCCTGACCCTCGGCCGTTTGGTCTCCCCTGCTGAGGGCTTCTATCTGGTTGGGTTTTTATTTATTTATGTATTTTTTATGTATTTATTTTATTTTGTTGATATTTATGTATGTTTATCATTTTTATTTACAATTATAGAATTATACAGCCCAACCAGATGAGAAAACTTTATAGATAACCCAAAATAATAATAATCTTTCAAATTTTAATATCAAAGAACGATATAAACATAATATTGGCAAAAAAGGTCTAATGGTCCAGAACTTTGTGCTAGGAATTAATCTTGAATAATGAATATATAAATTATGATAGATTAATAGGCTCTACCTGGGGTAATATTAATATTTCATTCCATCTTCTAATATGTAACGAGAGACACTATAAGGTTTTATCTTTGTGTGTTTTTGTGTGTTTGTGTGGTTGTTATTTTGCGTGGTTTTGTCGACGTCTGAGTTTATACAAATAAAAGAACAGACGAACTTTACAATTCCTATTTAATATAATATTATACGAAAGGGAGAAGAAATTTCAAATACATATGTGATTAGGCGAGAATAATTTTTACAGTCTTATATTTCTAATCCTCTATCTTAACAACTCCATAACAGAATACAGATTAATAAATTACAGACTAATATTGTAACACATAAAACTATACTATACTTCTTCTTAGTCTTGGATACGTGGCATTCCGCCACAACACTTTTAAATTCCCTACGGCCTAAGTCGCGGGCAACGGCTGGTCCCTAATAAAAGAACAAAATTTACATTTAGTTTCTCAGCGTCAATACGTAAATAATTCTTTTACTTCATAACATAGGTGTGTGACTCCAACAGGTTTTTCGAATTTCCATTACGTTTTAAATAAAATAGTAACAATAATAATTTTAATGCTTTCAAAAGATGTAAATCAGACTTCAAACTAGCTTATTGCAATCGGATAACGGTTTTCTTGTAAATCAGTTACAAAACCCGACAGTAAACGTTAAGTTTGCGCAGATGCATAGTTTAATGTTGACGAAGTGTATCTTTGGCTAGATCTCTAGGATTGCGCAGAATGTTTTTCGTAATTTGCATTCGTTTCGTATCTTATGCAGAGATCTCGATCTAAGAGACGGTCTTGGCATCTATTGACAGATGTTTCCGTGTTATTTTGTTGAGGGGATTCAAGAGGAAGGCAATAATATGATAAGTGCTTCCAGTTAAATTTATCTATAAGTCTCGCAATTTGTTTTATTGCTATATTTATGTCTTGAGTCACACTTTACATCTAGTTGTAAATTATTTAATAATTTATTTAATGAATCTTATATTAAATACTTTATTAACTTTATTTCATTATCATCGTTACCTTGACAGCCTTTCACAAGTCCTCTACTGAACACAGTCACTTTTCCCCAAGGAATGCCACAAAGCCAGGTCCAGAGTCACTCGTATCCATCGATTTCCTGCCTCTCTTACTATGTCATCCATGGAGGACGCCCTATACTCCACTTACAAGGCTACTACCAATGCATTCCATTTAATAGTATTCGTCGCTCCCAACTCAAACGCAAAAGAAAGAAAGCTTCTAAAATCGATCTGTACATTTTAGTATTTATGGTTTTGAGGTTTGAATGTCATATTAATATTGTGCCTTATCTTAAACTTCATCAGTCTGTAGGGGCTATTTACCGTAATTGCCACGCGTGACAGGTATATTGGAGATCGCAGTAAAGGAGGTTTTGCACCTTTGACGCTTATATCTGGTTGCACA